GGGCAAGGAGCACTCCTGGTGAGCCCATGGAAGAGCTGGTGTGGCTGGAGTATAGTGAGCGAGAGAAAGGGGTAGGAGATGGTCAGCCAAGGAACCGGGAGACAAGGGGGGAAGACGTTGGTTGCAGTTCTAAATGTGGCAGGAAGCCTTGGGTGATTTCGAGCAGGGAGTGCCATGAGGACACAGCAGTGGTTCCTGGGCTTTCAGAATGAGAGCTTAGGTGGCCAGACAGGGTCAACATTCCTGCCCAGAAGGGAGAGGAGGCCGGACAAGTATGTATACTAAACAGGATGAGGTTAGGGAAGCTGATTAAGATCTCCTCTGGGCCTAACCAGGAAAAGCCAGAGGAAGCTGGGAGTTGGGATGGAGGGGCAGAAGCTGAAGGACATCTCTAGGTTGCAGAGGAAAAGGGATGGGGTTGGGGTTACTGTGGCCCAGAGAGCTCAGAAGACTTCAGTGCTTTCTCCAGCATGTTCTGAGATCCTCACCTCTCTCTCCCCTTCCACCAAAACCAGGCAGGGAGGGGCACTTCTCCCCCTCCTTTGCAAAGGGTCCCATCCAGACCGGACCGACGCAGCTCTACCTGTGGCAGCTGGCGCGCAGGCTCTCCTTGTCTCTGACTTCTGCCCTGGGGGGCGTGCAATCAGTGCTCCTGGCTGCCCCCCAGCTCCTCCCCACAGCTTCCCTCTTCCCTCCGCAGCTCCTCCCGTCTGCTCGCGGGGGGCGGCTGACTCTTACTCCCGAGGTTACCGTGAATCAGCTGCCCACAGACTTCCTTCCAACCCCGTGACCACCTTCCTTGTTCCCTCACCCTGCCAAGAGGGTGCTGGAGAAAACAGAACCTTCCACCACCCCACCCTACCCCTAAAATACACCGTTGCTCACTCTTCGGACCAGATCAAATTTGACTCTAAATGAGATTCTGCTGGCCCTGCAAACGCACAGGGAAGGTGTCTGCCCCCTGCCCTGGCCCTAGCCCAGCGTTCTGAGGCCGTCTCCCTGCTTCCCTACTAGCTGAGCATCGAGGACTTCACAGCGTATGGTGGCGTGTTTGGAAACAAGCAGGACAGTGCCTTCTCTAACCTGGAGGTAAGGGTCCTCTCCCAGCTGCAGGCCCTGGAGGCCATCCTGCGCCCCTTCTCCCAGCACAGTAAGAACTGTCCCCTCAGGAGCCAGAGATGCTGGCTGAAGGTAGAAAGGCCTTAGTGTCAGGGCCAGGGGTGTGGCGTGTTTTCTTTGTCACCTGAAATGAGAGCCGGTGTGGGTGTGGGCGTGGCTTTCCAGAGAGGTCTGGGAGGCTGGCCTGGGTCCACTGGCCCCTTGCTAACTTGTCCTCTCGCCTGCCCCTCTGTCCCCAGAATGCCCTGGACCTGGCCCCCTCCTCTCTGGTGCTTCCTGCCGTTGACTGGTACGCGGTCAGCACTCTGACCACTTACCTGCAGGAGAAGCTGGGGGCCAGCCCCCTGCACGTGGACTTGGCCACCCTCCGGGAGCTGAAGCTCAACGCCAGCCTCCCGGCCCTACTGCTCATCCACCTGCCCTACACAGCCAGGTACGGCCCGGCCTCTAGCCTCAGGCCCCAGGCCCTGGTGGCGCAGCTCAGCCAAGGAGAACAGTCCTCCCGTTAGCACCCTGAGGCCCTCCCAGAAGATGCCTGTGTGGCCAGAAGAGGCGGGAAGGACCTCAGCCTGTCGGGCCTCCTGAGACAAGGCAGATGTGGGCCTTGCTGGTGGGGAGCCGGCCCGCCTAGCGGGGACCATACACGGAGCAGGTGGCAGGGACTTGAGCTGGACTCCGAAGCTGGGGGAGGAGGGCCGGGGGATTCCAGGCAGGGCTGTGAAGTGAGCAAAGGTACCGGTGGTGGGAGTGGGCCCACAGCTCGAGTGTGCTAGGTGTCGGGGCTACCAGGCAAGGACGGCGGCCCAGGGCAGCGGAGACCATTTGGATTTGGGCGTCTCTAATGTTCTGTCTCTTCCCCAGCTCGGGTCTGATGGCGCCGAAGGAAGTGCTCACGGGCAACGGTGAGTGGGGTCGGGGCGGTGCATGGTTTCTGTCCTCATCCCACCCTTGGCTGCAAGGAGCTGGCCCACGCTCCTCAGCCCCTCCGCCCTCCCAGGGTGGCCCACCTGCTTCTTGGCAGCAACTGGCCAGCTGAGCAGGGCCCCGCCAGCCCCCAGGCCTCGGCCTTCTCTGGCTGGGCCCAGCCTGGCAGAGCTGTTGGATGTCCAGGGGCCTTCTGCGTGCAGCCTGGAGCCAGTTTCCACTCAGGCGGCCTGAATCCTCGGGTTTGGGCTTGAATATACCAGCAACGTTTCAAAAAACAGTTCCAAGGACTGGTCTTCCTTTGGCTGTAAAGGACAGTCATTCCTCCTGGCAAGGTCACTGGACACTTTCCGGGTGTAGAGTTGGAGTTTTCTGTGTCTGTCTGTCTTTCCTCCCTCCACTGAGTTAGGATGTGGCATTAGGGATTCAGTGACTGGGGCCACGGTGGCCGGGGGGAGGCTGGGGCTGGGGGGATGATGAGAAGCGGCTGCTGGAAACAGCGAACACCAGTGAAGGTTGCTGGGACCCGGCTCTGAGAGGGTCTCGGCGTCCCACCAGAGGACGTGCCAGTTGCCGGAGTACGGGGACCGCACAGGGCAGACATCCGGCGCTCCCCAGCTCAACACGGCCATCCCGCTGAGCACCATCAAGAGAAGCCTCCGAGAGGGTGCATGGAAGGACCCAGCCTTGCCCCTGCCGTGCGACAGTCGGGCGGGTTCTCACGGGCAGTGGCAAGCGTGGCCGCAAGCGGCCGCCTGTGACTTGCTTCTCTGCCCCCCCCCACCCGTTGCTCCTCAGATGAGGTCATCGGGCAGGTGCTGAGCGTGCTCAAGTCGGAAGACGTTCCGTACACGGCGGCCCTCACGGCAGTCCGCCCTCCAAGGGTACGTGCCCTTGCCCGGGGCTCCGGGACGTGTGGCCAGGGGCCTGGAGGGGCGCCGGCTTCTTCTCTGGGCAGATGTCAGGGCGGGGGGCGGGGGGCGTGGATGAGCCGTGAAGTCCTGCTTCCTCCTTCCAGGTGGCCGCTGCCCATCTCACCCCAACAGCCTTACTGGCTGGCGTATTCGGACAGTAAGTCCAAGTGTTCCGAAGGTGCAGAGACGAGAAACATCACAAAGGCTTAGGGGCCACCAGGGGAAGGCTTCCCAAAGGAAGCTTTGAGTATGAGCGTGACTGGTGGGGCTTGAGATGGTGGAGAGAGTGCCCAGCGGGGACCGCAAGGGCAGGCCGCTTGGTTCAGGGCCTGCTGAGAGAACCAGGGCTGTTGAGAGAAGGCTTGTGGGCTCTTTCTGCAGGTGGCCCGTGATGTAGCCTTGGTGGCTGGGGGTCTGGGTCGCCAGCTGCTGCAGAGACAGTCGGCATCGCCTATGATCTTTTCCCCTGTGAGTTACAACGACACTGCCCCCCGGATCCTGTTCTGGGCCCAAAACTTCTCGGTGGCATATAGGGACCACTGGAAGGACCTGACCTCCCTCACCTTTGGGGATGAAGACCGCCTCAACCTGACCGGCTCCTTCTGGAACGAGTCCGTTGCCAGGTAAGGGCAAAGTACATGCCACTGAGGGGGTATGTGTTGGGGGCTGTCCGCCGTGGGGATGCAGGTGGCATTGTGGTGGGGGGAGGCTTGCGGAGGGCTCCTGAGTGGGTGTTGCTCAGAGTTCTGCCTCCTCATGCCTTCTCGTCCTTGGCCGACCTTGGTGGTTAACACCTTGGGTCCTGCTGCTTCCCCCTTGGGCAGCCTCCACAATCCCAAGGGGGAGCTGAAGGAGTGGCCGTGGGTTCAGGGGAACCAGAGGGAGGAGCTCTCAGCTGGAGGTGGGGAACCTGTGTGCTGGCTGGTTCCTGACTCAGGGTGTGATGGGGCCTCAGTTTTCCTATCTGTCAAGTGGGGGCACTGCCTCTTCAGGTGGCTGTGAGGACCCCGTACAGCTTAGGTAGAAGGATACCTGAGGAACTCGCTCTAAGATGCTCAAGGCCATCCCAGAACCTGAAAACTCACCTCTTCCTCTGACTCCGCAGGCTTGTGCTGACCTACGAACAGCTCTTTGGTACCACAGTGACATTCAGGTGAGTCCGAGAGGCAGGTGTGGGTGGGCTCGTGCGGCTCCGGCCTCTCCAGCTGCCTGACACCTCCACGGCCTCCCCCAGGTTCATTCTGGCTAACCGCTTCTACCCGGTGTCCGCCCGACACTGGTTTACCCTGGAGCGCCTTGAAATCCACAGCAACGGCTCCGTCGCCTACTTCAATGCCTCCCAGGTCACAGGGCCCAGCATCTATTCCTTCCACTGTGAGTACGTCAGCAGTCTGAACAAGAATGGCAATCTCCTCGTGCCCGGCACACAGCCCTCTCTCTGGCAGATGACTTTTCAGGACTTCCAGGTAGGAAGGGGAGGGACCGTGCCCGGAGGTGGGGAGCCCAGGTTGGAGGTAGCCCAGTACTGGGAGGGGCTGGGGGAGCAGAGGCCTGAAGAGTCTCAGTGTGCTTTGGGTTGGGGTTAGGGCTTGGGAATGTAGTTGAGAGTCCTGTCGCCTTGGTGCTCCCACGCCCTTATTGGGCCTCCCTGTGTGGGGCCACTCAGTGCCTTCCGTCCCGCAGATCCAGGCCTTCAACGTGACGGGTGAGCAGTTCTCCTACGCCAGCGACTGTGCAGGCTTCTTCTCCCCGGGCATCTGGATGGGGCTGCTCACCTCCCTGTTCATGCTCTTCATCTTCACCTACGGCCTGCACATGATCCTCAGCCTCAAGACCATGGACCGCTTTGACGACCACAAGGGCCCCACCATAGCTCTGACGCAGATCGTGTGACCCTGCGTCTGTGGGGGGGTGAGGGCGTACTGGTGTCCAGGTCATCGCGTTCCCACCAGAGGCATGCTGGACGGGAGGGCTTCCCCTCTGCCTACGGTAGCATGACTCCTGGCTCCCCTTAGCCTGTCTGGCTCTCTGTTCAACCTGCTGAGGGTCTTCCCTGGGCTGCCCACTCCCCACCTCTATCACCAAGGTGTATGTATTCTGCGTAGACAGTAGGCAAATTTCCCAGGCTTGGTCATTGTGAAGGAAGGGGCCGTGAGTTCTAGGGCCCATCCTCCTCCCCCTTTCTCCTTATTTATTCCCATTTCTCCACCTTCGCCCCTTGCTGTTTATAAGTGCTTTAGTGTAGCCACTTCCCCTCCCCAGGCTCCGTGGGGCTCCTTGTAGCAGCCAGGAGCTGGCAGTTCCCTGAGTTTGGAGGGTGTGGAAGTACTATTTAACTGTCTGTCCTGCTTGGTTGGTGTTATTGTTTTTTGGTGATGTGCTAAGGATAAGCAGTACACTGGGCTTTTTTTTTTTTTTCTTGGCCTGAGAAGGAAGGGACCTCCATGGCAGAGGGACTGGGTGTGATCTCTGGGTGCCTGGCAGGAGCCTGGGGTGCTCGTGGTTTCCTTCCTAATAAAATAAAGACGGGTCGCCATGCTTGGGCCTCTTGTTACTCATTTCTGCGCTGGGCACAATGGAGGATGCGCTTGGCTGAGGGCTGCCGGAGGAGGCGTGCGAATGTACCCGTAGCCTAGCGCGACCAAGAGGGAGGCGGGAAGGTCTCGCACGGGTCCGTCCTGCGGGCTGCTTTTCCCGGCGGCCAGGGGAGGCCGGGAGGGTTGTTAGCAAGCTGCGTCCCTAACCGACTAAAGGAGGGCGGGGTCGGTCAGCGCCCGGGAAGGGGGTGGAGACGGCCGCGACAATGGCCGCCCCCACGTCCCTAGGGGGCCGCCTCGGGCTGCCGCAGCCGCGCGCACCCAACCCGCGGGGCCGCGCTGAGCTTCCCGGGGGGCGGGGCGCGTGCGGCTCCCGCGCACGGATCCCTCGTGGACCTCAGCACCGGCTACCGAGC